CCCGGTGGGCGTAGCAGGCAATGTACGTTTGTTTAATATGAATATCGTTTACCACGACCGTGTTTTGGACTTGGTGCTAAAAGGTGGAGGCTGGGGTGGTGGAGGCAAGTGGGTGGCAGTGTAGCTGAGCAGGGATCAGTGAGGATGAGGTCGTATTTAAAGGGACCACTTTGGTGAGAGAATGGGCTGTGATTGGTGGGTGATAGTAGCTGACAGCTAAGCACATGACTCAGTGTCCTGCATGAACTAACGTGATGCTTAATTTTACTGATGATTTTTGATAATGATGATTATATGCAGGAAACAAGCATCCATTGTCATAACATAGTATAAACAGTTCATACAATTAGACCAATCAATGATCCTTTGTTACTATGTTTTTATGAAATATAATGGTCTAATCCATTGGAGTAACAATATATACTCAGAGATGTATATGTCACGGCATCGTCGTGCTTCTCTGATGTATGTGTCAATGCTAATAGGCAGGTATGCATATGTAAGTATGGAGTCCCTCGTGTTGTCATGGCATTCAAATGTGTTTTCCCTGCGTAACTATTTCTATTGGAACATTCTGATCGTTTAACATGAGCTCCTATGTAACCAATGGGTTGATTTCTTCTACTGCTAAGATAAACTAATACCCTGCAGTTAAGGGACTGGTATCAATATTTTCAGATGTCAAATTAGCAGATTTCAACATATTTAAACCAATGCATTAACAAGTGTTTTCAGCCAAAGTCGGCTTACAATGTAAACATTCAGTGAACACATATCAGCATTAGAGATCATCTCCACACTCTTTTTGCTCTATTTGCTCTCGACCAACTCCTGAGTGAAATATCTGGCTCTTTAACAGCTAAATTTTCTGCTGTGTTCACCAGCTATAGTCGATAAGTGCGTCTGCTGTTTAGTGCTGTGCAGGTTGGAGATTTTAGAGCCTCTCTGCTGAAAAACACCTGCTGCTTCTGCAAATGGTGCCGATGGGATCAGTGAGAGAGAACCAAGACCAGGGGCCGTAAAACTGAGACACTGAACAAGGTAGTTATGTTTTTAATGGAGCTGAGAGGAAAAAGGCAAAGTCTTTATCATGATTAATCAGTTATTTATTGTAGCAGCTTCAGGTGATATTCATTGTGATACTTTTAGTCACCAATAACAAGAATACATTAATGGAAAATAATATTATTTATGATAATATTTATACTTTTATTCATATAGAACTTATTTAACATGAATTAACAAAAATAAGACGTGTCATAAAAGAAACAGTGTCATCATGTCCAGGGTCCGCTGGCTGTCTATAATATGACACTGTACAGTCATGCTGGTTGCATGTTACAGCCTCAGTGTGACTTTACCTGCTGATGTATAGTACCTGCAGTAGTTAGGACACTGAGAGACCAGCACTCATTCATGTCACGTTATAACTGTGTTTGTGGCCCATCTGTGTGATGTGTTATTGAAACACTTCCTTCATAGCTGTGGCAAACCCCTACAGTATAGCTAAGCCAACAAACCGGACCTGCACTCCTTGGAGTCAGTGCAGCACCGTGTCCTCCACTCTCACATTCTCACCTCCGTGTAAGAGTTGTTAATGTATGTATTACTGTAACCCGCATGAGTAGTACCATCCATAGGTACTGCCGTCAATAACTGTCAGGGAGCGTGTTTCATTGCCTACACATTCTCATATCACATCTGTTTTTTCACTCCTCCTTCCTTTGCCTCCAGAGATGCCCAGCAGAGTACGAGACAACAGTGTCACCTACGGGCTGAGGACGGATCTACACCCCCGGCTCGACGAGTGCAGTTTAGTGCAGTCCTCCTGGACACTACTCAGGTGAAAAGATTTTTTTTTCAACACCATTCTCACACCATGCTCTAGCACTCCTTCATCTGAATACTTGTGGGGACATGCCGAATTTGTATGTATTATCATTCCTCATGCAGAATGATAAATACAGGCAGCCAGATGCCAGGCAAATGGAAACGGCAGTGTTCAAAAGAACAAGAAAGGAAGAGAGGGGGTTGTGAATAATTCATTTTTCTGTTGCACTTCTCATCACTGTAATTACGCAGCCATTGTTCTTTGACAGAGAGGAAACGTAAAATTACGATTTAAGCAGTGAAATTGTCATTTGTAGCAGTAATTGACACTAATAAAATGATTTTTCCTTCTTTCCCCGTGGATCATATGCTAATCAAAATGTGAAGTATTAAAGATGACACTAACGGGCGTGATAAGCAGCTAATGAAAGAGGGGAGGCAAGTGGGACATTGATAGACATACTCCCGCTAATAAGTTCCTGTTCATTAGAGCATGCAAACTGTACCCTCCTCCTGTCTTGTCTGTTTCCTGTGACTGACGGCTTTGACAGTCTTTCCCATCAAAGGGAAACTTTTGACCGCATCCTCACATGAAGCATTAATATTTCACACCACCAATAAGCAAGTTATTAGCCCTTTTATAAATGGATCAGCAGTGTACTATTATTGGAGGGGTGACATAAGCCTCTGCTTGATTCTCTATTTAAAAATAGATTAGGCTGTCTATAATGCCAGCATTTTGATGACATTTTTCTTGTGTCTGGGAGGACGTCGTCTTCGCTGCCTCTCACGATGTCGGGAGGCTGACTCACACAGAGCGGAGTTGATATGACAGACTTTGATCTCTCCCACTCTCTTTCTCCCCTTCTGCTATTCCCCCAGCGGACTTCTGCATATGTCGACCCACATCCACCCTGAAAAAGCAGAACGAAGATCCATGAAATGAGATGCCAAGTACCAGGCTCTCCTTGTGACAGGGCAAAAAAAAGGAAAAAGGTTTGATAGAGAAAGAACAAAAAAAGAAGAAGCTGAGAAGAGGGCCACACTGGTGACCATAATGAGAAGTTCAGTTCAGTGCTGATGATCGTATTAATCTTACTTCAATAAAATCAGTGGCAGGCCTTCACAGTGGGACAGCGCAGAATGAAGTTCAGGTCCCATATTGCACCCTGGAGGCGGTTTACCCCTCTCAGAAAGAGAATGGGTAAAAATCCAGAAAATAGCACCTGTGTTACAAATAGGTAGCAGACCAGCTGCAGGGAGGGCCACGGGCGACTTATCCATAACCTGCGCAGGTTGGATGCCATCAGGGAGTCGCAGGGAGATCAGGAGTTGTAGGTTTTTACCATTAGGACTTTAGCGATCTTGCATGCACGGGGAGATGAGGGGAATAATCGTGCTAACTCTGAATTCCCTCATTACCTCTGAGGCTGAGCTGTGGGCAGGAGTCCAAGTCCCACATGCTCAGAGAGAGAGAGAGAGAGAGAGAGCGCTTCCAAAGCACACTCAGTGTGGAGAGCACAGAGGCCAGAGTGTTGGTCACAGGGATCTATGGAACAAATTTAGACCATTAATGTTGGCCTGTTTGGATAATAAGATATGCTGTTTAATAGTGCAATGCATGTTTTATTCCAGCTTTGTCAAGATGAATTAACATTAAGACAGCCTGACATGATTACGTGGCTTGTTGTACTAATATTAAATAAAATTATTGAGATTATCCGCACACTTTTCCTCACAAGCCTCTCCACATTTCAGCCTGTTATACAATTCAACCCTGCTCCGAGTCACTTCAACTATCAACATCTTACCATTATTGCCTCAGGTCCCAGGAGGTACTGTAGTTGTACAATGCTACAGATCACATTTAGATCCCAGATCAAACATGTTACATTTTGCCCAAACCGCTAATTGGAGTCATGCAAAAATAGCATGTTTGAACTCCCTCTGATCGCTGTGAGTGTAGGGCAACAGCAAATATATATACATATAACAGGGTGGCATAGTTCGGATAAAATGCTTTTTTTAAACACAGTTAATTGTCCACACACTCTGAATTTGACTGATGTCAACATTACAAAAAAAACTAGAGAAAAAGGAATGAAAGCAATGATTGACAAATTCAAAGTGTTTCTTTATTGGCACAGCCCTGCAGTGCATTCGATTTGAATAGAAACATGATTATTTTTCCTTGTGTATAACAGTGTTTGCACTGACTTAGCTCGAACATGTCATTTACAGTGCTATTTGATGTTCTCCTCAAAGAGAACACATCTTGTGAGTGTCAACCAGGGAAGTGCACAATACCAGCAAAACAGTCATGTGTATATGAACACTGGCAAGGAATGCACACATAACAAAGGCCTTTTTGTTTCTCCACTCCTGTCATTGTTGTGCGGCGGATTTGTAGGACACATACCAAAGCTAATTATTAACCTGACAGTGTCCACTCAGACACCTGTGGATAGCTGCATGTCGGTGGAATGTATACAGCTGATCAAAGTTTGATAGCTACAAAGCGAGGTCATCTGTAGCTCCATGGGAAAATAAGCTTGCCCTCAATAGCGATCAGCGCTCACAAAGTGTGAATCTAATATGCAAGTTAAAAGCTGAATGAGGCCACTGATAGTTGGAAATGAGACATTTGTCAAACACGTTTTCCGACAGTCTTTTCAAGCACACAGCCATTTTCTTTTCTTCTGCCAGTTCCAGTGACTTGCAAACAAAAAAGGAAAAGACAAATTCTCTCAGGTCCTCTTACCTAAACTGTCAGCACCTCATTCATCATGATGAAATGAGGAAAACAAATGTTGTGCTACATAATAACACGGGGGAAATTTCTCTAAAGGTTAAACACTATTTTAAGCAACTGCAGGAACAATGACTTTAAGCAATTTAACGCAGCCTCTGTGGGCTTTTGAGAGTGTTTGGATCCGTGCCTGTGTATACAGCTCCTCACAAGCGTGTGCTTTGCTGAAAGAGTGAGAGGGAACGGTGCCAGTCAGGGATATAAAAGTTGTGTGTGTGTGTGTTTTATGTCTGTGTGGGTGTGCATCATGCAAATACTCACCTGATATGAGCCTGAGCAGGTAGCCAATTGGAGCAGGATAAGGAAGTTAGGAGGATAAAACAGCCATTGTGGTGGGGCAGCACCTAGTGTGCCTGCATACCTTCATCTGTTAATTCAAATGTTTGGGAAGCAGAAGGACTCGACTCATCTCAGCGTAAACACAGGTCCTGTAGAGTATTGGTGTCTCTACACATTGTATTGATCTCTATTGGGCTGAGAGCGGATCTACGTGAGACCTCTGTCAGGCCTGGTCGGACATCATTCTACTGCTCCGGTAGGCTGTTGATATTGATGCTGGGAAAAAAGCTTTTCAGAAACAAGGCCAGTCTAATACGCTCAGTGTGTCTTAATGCTATTGACTTCTAATACCATAGGGTGCTTTTATTAGCATGTTTGGGTCACAGTGCCTGTGCAGATGTGGAAATACTGGAGAAAGAATTTTCTTCACATCATGAAAAATGCAGGATTTGTTTTTCTTCAGGTGGGTTTAGGCCTCGGCTGTTCTTGCAACAATCTTCAATTACATAAAAAATACACATGTGGACCATTGTACTGAACAGCATAGGACATTTTTGAGACATTCACTGAGAATATCAGTCATTAAAAAAAAGGGTTTCCTTTAATACTAAGCACATTCAAGCGCTTGCTTCAATATCTCCCTCTATACATGATTGTTTCAATGCTTTCACATCAAAAACAACTCCTCATTCTGTTGGTATCACTGAGGTTGCATGTGCTGAGGCATCAACTTCAGATTTAGGTTCGTTTGAAAGAAATGAATACAATGACAGAGTAAATTCAAATAGAAAAATGAATATAATCTAAACAGAACAAGTTCAATGATATCGTAAGGCCAGAAATGAAGCCTTCTGTCTGTCAGAGTCGATTGCTTAAGTATCGATTATGTCCTTATATCATTACAAACCTATATGCAGCAGTGATTTCTTGTCATCCACTATGACTCAGCGAAGAGAATATCGATCACTAACTATGGCTACGTCTTCATCTCCTTCCCTGCAGCACTGCTCCGTGATTGTTGTATTGACGGAAATAACTTGCTGCCTCATTGATACCTGTTAGGTAGAAGTAAACATCATTGAGGGTTAACACAAGATAAGGTGTTTGAGCAGACTTGGCAGATGATCTACTTTGGCATGAGAGCATGTGTCACCTGTCCACGGGCGAAATATGTTACAGGGATCTTGACTTTGGGTTGTTTTGCATTGATTTGCCAGGTAAAGGAGATTAATTCCCCTGTTTGTAGATGTGGCAGCAGAGTATGTCTTTCTAAAACGTGTGACAAGGCGTGGTGTAATTTGCTGATAGCCCAACACTAAGGTGTGACCAGGCTTTCCTGGGAAGCAGGTGAAGTGAGGGTCACTGTGTAAAAATTTGGTTTCATTGTGCAGACATGTGAATCAGATGTCTGTCATCATGTTGCCCTTTTAGTTTGATTATGATATGATAAGTCAGCCTTGATTTAGTTTTTGGTCATATTAGAAATGTAAATGTTGGAAAATGTTCACCTTCAAAAGAAACAGGGATCATGTGAACAACAGAATAATAGAATATATGAAACAAAACCTATAATTCAGATGGTAGAATTTAGAGCAGTCATTTATTTTTGTTGGCAGTTTGTTTTGTCTCATGTTTCAACCGTTCAGAATCCAAGCTCAAAATAAAACCAGATATTGTGAGATATGACTAAGCTGTTATGTGCGTGTAACACTCCTCCATCTCCAACTGGACAACTCAGTGTAGCGGATGAAATTCTGACAGGCTGTATCTATTTCAGATGCAAATAAGCTAGTGGCTGAGTCTGAAGCACACCTTTATCTTTATGTGTTTACAAGTTCTGGGTAATAACTGCAGACGGCAGCATGAGAGGGAGTGCAGCCCATGAACATTCAAAATAGTCCAGCAGCACTGTAAGTGTGAACATTGAGTATGAACTTAGTTACTGTTTGTTGCCATTTGGTGAATTGTCCTGTGGTTACCATGGTAGCAGCAAGAAAAGGGAAATAATACAAAAATCATTCGTTGAGCAGCTCCGTTACAGATCATGTTTAGTGTTTATTGTGATGCCTGACACGTTGCAATTCTTGTGGCTGCTAGTAAAATAACAAACACTGAATGTAAATACATCAGTTTGCTATTTTCAAACATGACCCTTTAAAACTGCGTTTGAAAAGGATAATAACATTAATGGACCTGAACATCCAGATGAATTAAACAAAATATTAAAGTAAAAATTACAATTTAACCATTGGAAGGCTTGTATGTTTCACCTTGGTCGTTTTAGTAGTCTTCTGTGATCGGATGCTCCAAATCTGTAAAGATTGAATTAGTGTGTTACTCCTGTTCTGCCTCAGCCCCTCGGCCATGGTGCATCACAGTTTAGACGCTGCAATGAGCATAACTCCAACAACCACCCTGGACAGCCAGCTGACCACGACCTGGAGCCCCACTAACTCCTACCCTGACGGTGAGGATTTGACCCACACTAACACACACATGATGAACCCTGCTGTGAACCTTCCGAGCATTATGCACTATCCACTGACATGAATAGGTTAATTAAATTTCCTAAAACGCCCCAAGAAAATATGCTAATTTGCTCTCCGTTCATCAGTCATGCTCTCTCTCTGGTTATGAAACGATGGAAAATGAAAATCATTCAACAATTAGCAACTGATGTATCGCTCACCTGGTGAGCCTCAAAGCTTAGCATACGCCAGACATGAATTAGAGAATCCCGACTGAGAAGCAGCTCAGCAGCTCTTTCAATAAACTGCTCTGCAGATTAATTATTGACAAATACCTTTGGTGGTGGAATTCGTGTTTCCTTCATCAGATGTAGATTTACATTAAAGCTAGATTAATTCACTGATGTAGATAAATACGATATTTACAGTGTTTTCATACAGTGCTAACTGCTGACGTCTGTCTCCAGTGTCGATGGTGATGTCTGGTTACACAAGTCGCCTGTGGCCTCACGAGTCCCAGCCTCAGTTCTGGAGCAAGTACCAGGTGTGGGAGTGGCTGCAACAAGTCATGGACATGCACCAGATCGATGCCTCAAACATTCCCTTCCAGAACTTTGACATGGACGGTCATCAACTCTGCAGCTTGAGCTACCAAGACTTCATCCGCGCCGCTGGCAGCATGGGAACCATTCTCTTCCACAGCCTCACAGAGCTCAAGTGGAGCGGTGCGTCCGAAGGTCTAAGAAGGGTGGGGGGGCTAAAGGGGCAAAACAAAAGAAGATTATTGGTCCAGAGGAAAAGAGGAGCTGGTTTGAGCTTGGTGTGGAGCAGTGTTGATGAAGTGATGCTGAGCAGGGATCATAGAGTCGGTCAGGGGTCACACTGCCTGGTGCAGGAGAGGTGAAGGAGCGCTTAAAGTGAAGGGGATGATGTATTTGTTGTTTGCTCTTGCTGGAGTGGTTCTTCTAACAAAGCACAGGGGGGGTGTGAGGCTGAGACACATGCTGAGATTTGAGCTCATCCCCTGTTTTTTAATTGGACTTATTAAACAAACCACAGTCCTGAGACTTCACCTAACTATTATAAATGTGGCTTAAAGGAAATTAAGAGAACAAAAATGTCTGAGCTTGATTGCGTTTCATAACAGCGGCACAGGAGACCAGGCACAACAGGTTTAACCTCTAGGTTGAGGGAAAATTTCAAGGGAGAACAAACCACAGCGCAATGCTGCTATTGTTACTGTCTATACAAAACCAGCTCTGTATCTGATATTTTCACACAACTGACATTGTTGAACTGGCTGTTGTAACTGGTTATAATTACCACAAAGAACTGAGGTCATTGTGTTGCATAAGACAGATTGTTAGTGTTATTAAATGATAATTAGATTAGCCGTGTTGCTTGTGGTTTAAAACTTTTTTTGTTATTGTGAAGAACAACCAGACGAGATGAGAGTGCAAGATGCAATATTTAAACTTCTTTTATCTGAAAGAGAAATAGATGAGAATGAGAACAGTAAATGTTGTGGCACTGTTGGGCTGTAAAACGATGTTGAAATATCCCATAAATGAACACAACTGTTTTTTTAGTGCTGCATGAAATCTCATAAAGAGTGTTTAATGTAATGTAGGATAGTAAATAATTGATCTTCATACATTACATAATACTGATACATTTAATTTTCTGATGCGTGCAAGTAATTCATTTTTTCTTCCTATCTCTAAACAGCCCAGTACCACGTGGAAGTAGGACAGCTGGAACTCAAGCCTGAATGTAAGACTTTCTTAAACAAAAGCAAATGAAATTAAACAAAAGTTTAAATATTAATTTTGCTTACTTGTTTTTCTTTTACAGTTGATTTCCCCTGTCCATTTCCAGATGTCAGCTATCCACCCGGAGGTACTAGAAATATCTGCTTCATTACTGATGCTATATTTAAAAAAGATCATATATTACAAATCGTTTATTTTTCTGATTTTCCCTCTTATTTTTTTTCCCTTAAACTCAGAGATCTACGATCCCATGATTCGCCCCCTCGAACCAGTTGCCTCTCCCACCCCTTCTAGTCCTGGTCAGGAACTAATAATTCACCCAACATAACTTTGACTATTGCATTAACTCAAATCAAACTGTCACAGTTTCAAATCGACATAAGCATTCAAAATGATGTCTTTTCTATTTCTCAGACATAAAAAGATCCTACAGCCGTCCCCATCAGGTCAGAAAACACAGTAAGTAAGATAAATATATACTATTTTATGACATTTCTTTTTCGCAATATAAAGCCAACCATTTAACCTACAGCCCAACCCTCCACAGATCCAAGGGGGACCCACTTGTGGGAGTTCATCAGAGACATTCTTCTGAGCCCAGAGCGAAACCCAGGGCTGATCAAATGGGAGGACCGGACGGAGGGAGTTTTCCGCTTCCTGAAGTCAGAGGCAGTGGCGCAACTGTGGGGCAAGAAGAAGAATAACAGCAGCATGACCTATGAGAAACTCAGTCGGGCAATGAGGTAAACCTGCATGGCCATCATATATGTATTTGCACAAATTCAAAACCATGTGTTTGCAGAGTGTAAACACACACACACGCAGAACAAGGCAATGTAGATAAACCGCATCATTTTAAATGTATCCTTTAAGTTCATTTATGGAAACTTTCTCTCCAAGCAAGTGAAACTTTTAATACATTAAAACGTCATCCTACATTCACACAAGGCTAAATTCTGTGAAGAGGGGAAATAATTAAAACTGCATTGTTGCTCATTCAATTAACTTAATAGGCACTTATTGGGGGCTTCATTGGGAGTTACACATCTAAAACCAGTGAACTCAACCCCTTTAAAACACACATTTACCATTCCCAACCACTGATTACCTCAAATGGACCCATTTTAGAAGTGTTGTGTGGTTCACTATTCCCCCAAGTGAACCGAAATGACTTCTCCTCAGAAGATTTTCCCGGCTGCTGCAATTGTTACAGCTTTACATCCAAATGAGCTAATCTAATGACTTTAATCTCAATGCAATGCAAACCACTGGGAATCTGCAGGTACTTTCACTGTGACCACAAAGCTGATTTTCTAGTTACTGTAGTGATGCGGGAGGATTCACAGCTTGAAGGTGATAATCACCAAACAGAGAAAGCAGAGGTAGGGACAACCAAACAGTTTTCTTTCATTTGATTTACTTGAATTATGTCCACCTCCTGTATATCTTGTTAATGCATTGTTTAAAACATTTGTGTTACCATTGTTAACTTTCTGAACAAACCTGTCTTTAGATGTTAATGAGAGATTTTAAGTGGGAGTTTCAGATTCAGTTCAAGCACATAAATGAACTGAAGTGACCCCTGAAGTTAATTCACTAAAATGGTTTGAAGTGACAGTTGAAGTAATAGACACTCACTCATCTCCAGGAGTGTATCACTGAAAACACCAAGGGCCCTGGTGCATGTCTTTGTCAGTTAGTTGTTATTTTACTGTGCATCACCCACATTGTTTAAATTTCAGATCCACTTGTGCACATCATGATTTTGCTGCTGTTAAAACAGGGAGTGGTCGGGTGCGGGCACGTTTCTATCTTGAGTCAACAAAAACCACATCTTCAGTAAATTGTGTATAATACCATGTTATTCCAAGGAAGAGTGATCAAGACCGTAGTAGGTGTCTGAATAGGCATGTGCACAACATACGTACAGTGGGCTTGTCACAGACACACTAACTGGTGACTCATGCACAAAAGTGAAACCTTTTCCTCTGCAGGAAAGTTGTATCTCTTACAAACAATCATTTTAACAGCAGTTGATCCACCAAGGTACAAGTTCCCCTGGTTCCACCTGTTACTACTTACTCTTTTTTAATCATGCTAGTGGAGCAGTGACTTTTTTTCTGCCATTAGAATTAGGTGAACATGCTCCATAGATGCACCTGCACCATGAGCTTAGGACCAATGCACTTGGCTCGCCCCTTATGTTTAAGTATTTAGTTTAAAGCTGAATTTTCAGCAGGCTGGGCATGTTAATGCATACAGACAGCTGACTGACACACAGCTAAAAGCAGCTGAACTGCCGCATAACAAATAAGAACGTAAAGCAGTTGAACTGTTGGTTGAATGTTGAAAATTGAAACAGGCTTTAGATGATCTGTAGGAAAATCGTTCTGAATTTGATTTACTAGTCATTGCAATATGTCCTGTGTTGCAGATATTACTACAAAAGGGAAATCTTAGAACGAGTAGACGGACGCAGACTGGTTTACAAGTTTGGAAGGAACGCCCGAGGATGGAGGGAGTCAGAGAAGTGATTAATTTATGTTCTGTCGTACGTAAAAATGTGATGTTTTATTATGGTTTGAATTGAATGTTTTCTAATGAGGATTTGTTTGAAGTGTTTACACGTTTTATGTATGTTTGCCTTTTTTTTCTTTAAATGAATCCCTTTGTTGTGACAATGCACTGAGATGTTGTTTACTGTGCCTTATTGAAAAAACCTTTGCTTATGATACATGCTAGCAGTCTAACCTCAAACATATATGAATGAAGACACTGTCAAGGACTTACAGAAAACATGACAGATGCTGGTTTACTTCACTCTCTACTGTTCAAGCCCGAAATGCGTTGATCCAGAATTCAAACACACAAAATTACTCTTTATGATATCGATACTGTGAAGTGTCCTTTGGGAACGATGTTTGATCTCTGCATTAATTTAACAACATAAAGAATGAGAATACAAGAATGTGCCATAAGCACCATGCAGCATTGAAGTAAAGTGTAAATATTAACAGTTAAATAATGGTATATTGGAAGTTTGTCTTTCTTGGCTCATTTCATTGTTTGCTTTCACTAAGCTCAGTGTGTAAATGTTTGTTGATGTTTATTATAAATAAAGCTTGAGACCTTTTTTTACTTTATGAAAGCCATTTTGCAGAATTGCATGTTTACTATTTCACTGTCTGATTGTGTAAGTCAAGAAAAAGCTGATTCTTGGGAATTTTAAATGCTACGACAGCAGGAAATATTATTCTGATTAGTTAGACTGTATAAATCAGCTTTTTGGCTCCAGTCTACAAACCTATAGAGCAGCTGTTCTTTCCCAGAGTTGATCAATAATAACTGTCAACAGTGTGACTTAGATCTCAGCCACATGCACTCAGAGCTGATCATTCCTGTTTTTTATCATAACCGTGTGAGATGCTACACAGTTAATCTCTTGCCAGTGCGTGCCATAACTGCCAAGCTGGTTCTTGATTAACCACGTTCATCTCGATGGTCCAACGAGATTAAAGCAGTGTCAAAAATAAAAGGGCTCCATTATGTGACCTGTGCAAGCAAATCTGGGTCTAATCTTCACTGCGATATCTTGATTTGGTTTCCCCTTTTTACATTCTGCTGTTATCTGTCCTGCTGGCTTCTAAATTTACCCATCGTCACATGCCTCTGGTTTCTTTCTCTCTGCTCTGACACACATCAGCCACACAAACTAACACCATGATGATGGGAACTGAACACATTGAATTCATATTACACAATCAATAATAATATGGTATTGTTTTATTTCAGTGGCGGATCTAGGATTTTTCTAAATCGGGGGCCATGAAGGGGCCACAATTTACAAAGAGGGACCAATTATATGTCCGACATCTATGTACAATTCCTGATTCAGTAAGGTGCACATTTAAGTCATTCCTTGTTCACTGTTAGCTCTGTTTTTTATGTGTGCAGAGACTTAGTAGTCAGTGACTGCTTCAGATTGGTTTGAGATAGTAGATACTGATTGCCATATTGTCATATTACACGAAACAGGCAGGAATCAGGATTCAAATGAAAGTGTGTATCCATCATAACCCATTGTTTAGATACTGTGTTGTTAAACTTCACATCGAGCAATCATACTGTCGATTCTCTGGAGCAGCACTTGACTTGAGACAAATGTACTTTTAATTCAAGGGATTCAACAAAACTTTATTTAATGTTTGTTATTATTGTTTAGATTGTTTTAAACACTTCAAACTTGACAGTGAGAAGGAAATTATGTTTAATAGTTGCGAAGCAAAGTGCCACAAACAAATGAGGTGAAACATTCTAAATATAATTTACCTTCATTTGGCTTCAATTTATTTTATTAGCCTTTGCATTGTACTGACCGTTAATAAAGCACAAATTGCCAAAAATGGAAATTAATGATAGTTTCCATGAAAAGATCAATCTGGCATCACTTTCATGTTTGAATAATGTGCGTGCTGCTGTGAGCTGTGATATGGGAACATGTTTGAAATGACCAACCGTAGATTAGTGAACAGTTAGGCAAATTGCCTGAACTTATCACACAGCTGACGCAAAAAGACAGGAGCTCGATTTTCCTAGCCCATCACTTCCCTGTGAGCACAAACCCCAGCTTTACATACCCACAAGAGAGATCATGTCAGCCCCTGACATTTGATTCAAATTAAGAGACTTTATATGCACAACGCAGCTTGCTGTGAGTTTTAAACATGGTTCTCTGAGCCTTTGACTTATATGGTTCACAAGTGTTAGCTGCAAGTAAGAGAGGACAATATGTCAAACAAATGTGGCAAAACACAGTTAAACTAGTATGACGAGTAATTTCAAAACTTGGTTTGAGGGCACATGGCAGCAGACGCTGATGGCACATAGGCAAACATGCACCCAAACCAGTTGTAAGAGATCTGGGGAGGAAGAAAAGCACCAATGTGCACCTGAGGGTTTTTGTTGAGTGGTTTCATTGCACAAAAGCAGCATTATATTGTGAAAGGTACAGACAACTGTCTAGAAAGATGACAATGAAACGTAAGAAAATAAACTAGTTGAAACAGTTGAAACAATTGGTGCCTTTGTTTTACCAAAAACAATATGCTTTATCATTCCGTGATTGCTTTTATCTCTCATAGTCAGAGAAACGCAAAAGCTGTTTTATCATTAAAAATGGAAAATATTCAGTCAGATAGAAAAACAGGGAAGTGATGAAGGATAGCTAAAGTATGGGCCATGAAGACAGCCAGCTGGGATTCTGTGTATGTCCCATGCCTCATTAGTAGGACTATTGTGTTTTCTCAGCAGATACACAGGCCCAGCTTATCAGGTCCCCGTATCACATTCTCCTCACACTGAAACGGACCTGCAGGCGATCAGCCCCAACAGATTGAGTGAGTTGGACAGATTAGAACTGTGCCAATGATGCCAGCTTTACTTTTTGTGGGCTTGTGTGGCAGTTCTCTGCCCATTTAGAAACAACTAAGCGCTTTGTTATCTTATCAAAAAAATATAACATTAAAGAGGAGGTTTAATGGTGAAACCAAATATAATCCCAGATGTTTGGAGGCATGTGCTGAATCAGCTTTTAAGACTCAAACAACTTATTTTGCATGTACATTAAATTTAAAAAAAGACTAACCATGAAGTGACTGTGCTAACATCAATATTTAATAATCATTGTGCAATTCACCAACGAGTCTGTTCCCTGAATTTTTGATGAAACCAAAACCTGATATACAAGGAAGCATAATACAGTCATGATAAAGCAGCAATGTGTGGTAATTACAGCTTTTAGTAAAGCCAGTTTCCTGCTCGCATTTTAGTATTTTCCACTATTGTCTTTTCCCTGTGCAGTCTTGAGAATTAACTCACTTGATTTCCTCTTTGGCACACACTTTCAAATGAATGAAGTCATCTATGTGTCATCACACATTAAAAGGTACAGTGTGTAGAATTTTGTGATATCTAGTGTTGAAATTGCATGTTGCAGCTGAACGCCCCTCACCTCACCCTCCCCTTCCAAAAATGAAAAATAACCTGTGGTAACCTTCAGTTGTCATAAAAACTCAAAAGGTGTTTAGTTTGTCCAGTTTGGACTAATGTAAAAAACATGGCGGCCTCTGTAGAGAGGACCCCTCAATGTAAATATAAAGTATTTAAATATAAAGGGCCTTTTCTGGGATAAAGAAAACTACAATTCATACAATTTAGATGAAATAAACTAATCAATAGTTCCCTTTCACCTAAATCCTACACACTGGACCTTTAAATGTATGAGGTCGTGTTAAAACTATAGTGTACTGAAATGTTTT